TACAATTTTGAAAAATGGGCGTGGCACCGCCCACTTATGATCACATATATGTATCTCGGTAACCGTTCTACCAATTTGTACCAAGCTCGGCATTTTTATTGTGCTTGCCACATAAAAGCAAAATGTTGAAAATTATTGAAATCGGACTAAAATTACGGCCGCTTTTCATATAACGGTAAATTTCAGAAATGCTTGAAACTTCGAAATTTCGAAATTTGAGGACTCTAATTGACTCAAAATTGATACGCCCCAGCTTACCATGTAGCTGTAGGTTTCGGAAAGGTGAAAAACATATATTTAATACTTGCGCCGGGTATTTAATGTTCGGCTCCACCCGAACTTAGACTTTCTTACTTGTTATGTATATTTCCTTCCAACAGGGGGAGTTTAAACCCCCAACCTTCCAACTCACCAACCCAATTTTTGTTTGAGGTATAATCGGTTTTGGGAAAAATACAAAATTTTTTGTAAGGAAAACAATCGATTTATTGAAAGAAAACTAATCGATTTTTCAAAAGAAAGAAAAGGATAGTTGGATTTTAATAGATATTTTCCACAATAATTGGTGACTACTTAGGAAGCTAGACTAAAATCAATTCTTTGAGTCGTTTTGTAAGAATAATAATCGACTCAAAAAAATAGTCATTGATTAATAAAGAAGTTGGTAAGTAAAAAATCGACTCAGATTCTACGTTTATTTTTTTGTTGGAGAAATAATCGATTTTTCAAGAAAAAATCTTAATCTGAACCAATTCTTTTCTTAACCTATCGGACTTTTCTTTTTGAAGGCCATATAAAAATCTATTCTAATAGTCGTTGTTTTGAACGAAAAATAATCAATTTAAATAGTAGTCATTGCTAAAAAATAAAAATTTTTTAAGAAAAGTAATCGATTTTCAAAAAGCAATTCTGGTTCTAAATTGTATTTTCCCAAATAAACGGTAATTTCTACAAAATTAATCAATTGAAAAAAATAGTCGATGCTTAATAAAAACACTAAATTTTTTTCAAGCAAAATAATCACTTTTCAAGGAAAAAATCATCTTCTGAATCGATATTTTCCAAAACAATCGGTTATCCATTATTTTGTAGAAAGCAAGACACAATATCAATTCTTAATCAACTGAAAAAAAATAGTAGATGCTCAATAAACACACTTTTCAAGGAAATAAATCATCTTCTGAATCGATATTTTCCAAAACAATCTTCTTCTTCTTTATTGGCGCTGTAACCACCTAAGCGATTTTCACCGATTCCAAAATAACACGCCACTCGTTTCTTTTCTGTGCCAACTGACGCCAATTGTAAATTCCAAATGGAGCCAAGTTCTTCTCCACCTGGTCTTTCCAACGCAGAAGAGGCCTTCCTCTTCTTCTGTTACCACCATCGCGACCCGCGTTGAATACTTTCAGAGCTGGAGCGTTTCTGTCCACTCGAAGGACAAGACCTAGCTAGCGGAGCCGCTGAATTTTAATTCACTGCACTATGTCTATATCGTTGTAAAGCTCATACAGGTCATCGTTAAATCGTCTGCGGCTTCATCAGATGTTTTCATTGTCCATGCCTTCGCACCATACACCAACACAGGCATGATGAGTGACTTATAGAGTGTGATTTTTGTACGACGAGAGCGAACTTTACTTCTCAATTGCCTACTCAGTCCAAAGTAGCACTTGTTGACAAAAGAGTTTCTGCATGGGATTTCCATGCTGGTATTTTTATTGATGATAATGCTGGTTCCCAAATAAACGAAGTCGTCTACTTTTTCAAACTTGTAACTGTCAACAGTGACGTGGANCGAACTTTACTTCTCAATTGCCTACTCAGTCCAAAGTAGCACTTGTTGACAAAAGAGTTTCTGCATGGGATTTCCATGCTGGTATTTTTATTGATGATAATGCTGGTTCCCAAATAAACGAAGTCGTCTACTTTTTCAAACTTGTAACTGTCAACAGTGACGTGGATACCAAGACGCGTATGCTCTGACTGTTTGTGTGATAACATGACATACTTCGTTTTGTCCTCCACCACCCATTCGCTTTGCTTTCCTATCTAATCCTGAGAAGGTAGAAACAATCGGTCATCCGCTATTTTGTAGAAAGCATAATTTTGCACGCAAACTTTTTTTATATGAAGACTCTTTGGACAACACGCTGATTTGTGCCCCATTCGATATTTTTTACAAAAAAATCGGTTATCGATTCCAGTGCTGTTCTCTATTTGTTCTTTCTACGCTCCTAGGGCGTTCACTGATGTAGCTTATTCCAATTTCTAATAAGGGTTTGGGGTCTATTGGTATTGTTAGTAAGCATGTCTGGCTCTTCGTTGGTTTCTATGCCTCTATGGCCCAGAACCCCGGCACGAAAGACCCTATCGTTTGTCGCCAAGGCATTTAGTCTAGGAACTCAAGAACCATAACGATTTAAATTGATGGAGCTCCGCTTGGAATACTTGGGAGTTTACCCACAGGTACTAAGACCTTTGATCTGACCCTAAACATGCTGGCACCCAAATCTGGTATTTTTGTGGCGCCTGTATACCAAATTAGAGGGTTCAACGGGGAGTATTTGATGGTAATAGTGATTCAGCTTGCCTTGTTCCCTAGTTTAATTTTGTGGTTCTTATCAAAGTAAATAGTTCTGTTGATCTCATCCACGTGGTATCGGATCAGGAGTATCGTAGGCCATATTATGAGGTGATATCACCTTTTCTTTTCTACAACCTTTTCTGGTGCAGTTCGCTGTTAAAAATGCCCTTGGGTTGAGAACGACTAAAGGAAGTAAGTAAGTAAGGAAGAAGACGTGTGGAGTACCGCGTTGCCTCTGTCTTTAAGTTGCCGAACGAAACTCAAACAAAAAATCTAGAATAGAAAGCTGTTTGATCCAAAGTATCCAATCTAGTGCAGAGCCTCGTTAAATAAAAAAATCTATAAATTATAGCGCATCTAAAGGTATCTTACGCAGAAAAAGCTTGCCAATAACAGTCAAGATATCCGGATTGCATTCGATTTCGAACGATTAAATAAACCATCAATCAACTTGTGCCATTTATTCTATTTTCAATAAAAATTTTCCATATAAGTATTTTTCCCA